CCCAGGCGCTTTTCTCACCCCCCCCCCCCCCCCCCCCCCGGGACGTCCTGCCAGGCAGGTGTCTTCCCGCCTACGTACGAACGCACAAGTCCACACGCTGAATCCGTACAGACCCCCCCTTCTTAGCACACCCCCTCTGCTCTGCCCAGCCCTCCCCCCGCACGCAGAGCCCTAGATACATGTCACACCTGCACGCGGCCTGCTGGCTCCTCCCCGAGACCCCAGCCTTGTCGCACAGTCAGAGCTCTCTCCCCGCTGGTTACCTGCCAGCTGGGAAGGAACTGGCATTCTCCCCAGGCTGCCAGCTGGGAGGCAGCGCCGTGGCCCATGACTGATGGGCGGCGTGCCGGAAATGGCACTGTCAGCCCACGATTATTCACAGCGAAACGGGCTTTTGGTGCCGTCGGGAGCCGCACCCAGACACAGCAACCGGGGAGGATCCAACCGTCCCACCTCGTTCGCATCCAAAAAGCCAGGCCCCGAAACTTCAGCTTGAAAACCACAATAAACATGAGCTTCCCTTTTTTTGCCTCCTGGTTTCTGGCCTGTATCGGTCACTTGGGATACGGTTTCCGGCTTTTCTCCAAAACCGAGAGAGGGGAAATTTACCTTTTTTTTTTCTTTAAACTGAGAGCCGAAACTGTGACATCATTGCAGGACGAGAGGAGTTGGGGCTTTCAGAAAACACCGTATCTCCCGAGAGTCCCAACAACACTGCAAGAACCAGCCATGCTGCCTTCACCGTGAATAACCCTTCTCCGGATCACTGGAAATAAACCGTGTCCCTTCCACTTCTCACCTGTCCTAGGGTACGTCTACACTAACCCCCCTAGATCAATCTAGGGAGGCTAATGAGGGCGACCGGAATTGCAAATCAAGCCTGGGATTTAAATATCCCGCGCTTGATTTGCATGTTCCCGGCTGGTCGCCATTTTAAAAATTGACTAGCCCGAAGTAACTACCCGCGTCTACAGGCGGCAGTGAAACGGGATTCCGATTTAAAGCCCTAACTCGAATTAGCTGGTATTCCTTCAGGGAGATAACTTGTAGCTAGAGGGTGATTACCGAATTTTCTCGCTGCAATCTCCTTATGGTGGGTCCCCCCCCCCCCACCAACAGCCTGGAAAGAGTTAATGAGGCTCCGTAACCTGACAGGCAACCCCTGAAGGAGAACAAGGGGAGCGGCAGCCCCGTAGGAAGAGGGCTTAGAGAGGAAAGAAGGAGAAATCTAGAGGGAGGGGAGAGGCCCTGGGGATGGGGCTGTCACCTATTTGGATGTTCCTGCGAACAGGCGGCTCATTGCGGCGCCCGTTTGCCCCGGCTCCGGTGCCGAGGGAGGGGCCCAGTGAAAGCTGACGCTCTGCTGGTTCTGTCTGTGCCGCTCGTGCGTGTGATTTGTGCGCAGCGCTGGGGATACGGGCGCTGGGCTGGTATGTAAATGGTCTCTGGGAGCCAGCGGCCTCGCCCACCGGTTATGCGGGGGGGTCAGTCAGTGGCTGCCCGGACAAAGGGTTGCAATAAACCTCTGAGGGACACGGCTGGGAACCTGCAGGCAGCCACGGCCGCTTGCACGAAAACCGTGGGCAGGCCCCTGGATCGTGTGCTCAGCTCCGGTTTGGGAGGGACCTTCGCCCAGGAGAACAGGGGATTTCCCGCCCGTGGGCAGGGGGACGAAAGGATCCCGAGGGCGCCTCCATCTCGGTCTTCGCTCCTGCTGTCGGCTTCAGGAGCACCCTTGCTAGGGACAGCCGGCCGGGAAGGATTTGCTGACCCGGCCGAGCA